TAGGCTCATTCACCACTGACCCCACCACTTACATTCAGGAGTTTCAATGGGTCCTGCAAGCCTATAGCCTCACTCATCACGACATTTACATGCTCCTGGCCAATACACTTCTCCCTGAGGAAAGGCGACGGGTCTGGAAATTGGTCCAGGCCCACACTGATGAAAATCATAGAACCAATCCCAACCACTCTACGGGCCCACACGCTGTCCCGGAGCAGGATCCTCTATGGGATGACAACACCCCTGGAGGCTTACAGTCTCGTGACCTTTTTGCATCCTGCCTCTTGGCGGGCCTGAAGAAGGCCATCTGCAAGGCCATTATTTTTTAAAAGATGCAGGAGGTCATTCAGAAGAAGGAAGAAACACCTTCAGAATTCCTGGATAGATTAACCAAGGCTCTCCAACAGTACAAACCTCCACCCAGAAACCCCTGACTCACCATGTCTTAATGACATATTTCCTGGCTCAAAGCTACCCTGACATTAAAGCCAAACTTAAGAAGCTTGAACAGGGCCCTGCTCCTTCTCAGACCAAAATCCTCGTGGTCGCTTTCAAGGTTTTCCATGGTAGGGAGGACGAAAGCAAACGCCACAGGCAGAAGGCCAAAATCGCCAAATTCCAAATGTTGTCATTCAGGGAAGGTCATCACCACGTCGTCCTAATAAGACGCACCCTGGAGCTTGCTTCAAATGTGGTAAGGAGGGACATTGGGCCAGGGATTGTCCTTCACCGAGGACACCCTCCACCCCCTGCCCAAAATGCCACCAAAGGGGACATTGGGGGTCAGATTGCCTAACAACTTGGAGGGGAGGCTGGTCAGCTGCCCCGCAACCCCAGCCTCTCCTAGGCTTGGCAGAGGAGGATTGACGGAGCCCTGGGCCTTCCCTCCTGACTATTACCATCAAGAAGCAAGAGCCCAGGGTCACCTTTCTGGTGGATGGACGCTTCATTACCTTCCTCTTGGATACTGGTGCCACTTTTCAGTCTTGAGGGAGTATTGGGGTCCTACCACGCCCTCGAAAACTCCTATTGTCGGGGTAGGAGGTAAACAGATTTTCCCTCGGAACCCCCACCCCCCTTATCATGTTATATGCAGGAATCCCTTTTATCCTTCACATACTCCTTTCTCGTTATGACCCATTACCCCATTCCCCTTCTGGGAAGGGACATACTCTCACTATTGAAGGTCACCATTCACATATCACCCCCCACCTCCCCCGCCTCTCATTTCCTCATGATGATCCTAGGGACAGATACACCTCCATCATGCACTCTCCCATGCCTATCTAAACAGTTAACCCCGAGGTTTGGGACATGACTACGCCCTCTGTGGCTAAATGCAGTCCTATTCAGTTTGTTTCACAAGGACCTCTCTCACGAGATTTGTCTTTTCCTCTCTTGTTTCATCTCCGCTCGGAACCTTGGAAATATCAGGACTGGCTTCTTCCAGACCCGGACTCCTCTTCAAACACTCCTCCCTTAACACCTGGAAGTTTGGTCTATTATAATACCCCGGAGGGAAAAGGGCCTCTTGCCCCCAAATGGGAAGGCCCCTATCCAGTCATTCTCTGTACCCCCACCGCCGCCAAACTCTCCTTAACAGACAACCGTCTTACCCCCTGGATTCACATTTCTAGGTTGAAGCCATACCTTCAAGAGGTCTCATCTACTGACGACAGGACCATCCCAGAGGAACTCCAAGAGTCACCTCCTAAACCTCCCCTTTACTCCTGCTCTCCACATCCATCTCATCCCTTTAGGTTGCGGCTCACACAGTGTTCCCCAGAGCCCAATTCCTCTTAAAGAAGGCACAATGAGCTCTCCCAACACT